GTTCCTGAAGTCTCACGTCGCATGATGCAAGCGTGATCGATTCAAGTCGATGGTGTGGATAATGTTGCAAAGCATTTTTCAATATTTATCGTTTATTTTGGCGTAAATAGTAAGGGCCTACCGGAAGTTTGTAGGGCGTGCATTTTGAAATTACTCCTCCTTGGGTGCATATAATATAAAGTCATTGTAATTACGACTCGTAAACTATTTTCTGCACAGTCTCAGTGAAAACTGAGACGCGTATAACTTGTTATGAAAGTAAAAGTTGTTCCATAATTATACGTTTTTGTCCCCTGTGCATAGAAATCGTCCCATTCGTATGATTTGAGGTTTTCAGAGCGATGAGTATGAAGATTTATGTCTTCTGGGTTGTTGCGCCGTGTAGTCTGGTCGATGTTTACCAACGTTTCAGAGGTCATACTGCCTCCGTCATCAGGGCGATGAGTATGAAGATTTCTGTCTTGTCCTATTCTTCCAGCATTTATTAGTTTTGGCCTCTCAGACAGTGCTTCCATCTGTTTCTAGCATGAAGGCCACACCGGGGAGGTCACAGAATTAGAGCCTTTGGCAGTGAGACGCATATTTTCGTATATTGCAACTCAAGGGCAGTGATGAGTAATACGATAGTAATTGGTAGAATCTTAATAGTGTACGTAAAAATGTAACTTGTCTGCTTTGTGTTGGGTCGTTGCACTAGAACACTGGCGTTCGTTTGTGCGAACCGCGTAGAACCATCACCTCAGGCCCGCGACAGATGCAAGAGTCCGGATGACACATGACACTAGTAAATTTGCTGTATCTCCCTGCCTCCTTTTATGTTTTAGCATACTTTTACCGTTGTGTGCGTCTTTGCCCCCCGTCTCTCTCTCTCTCTCTCTCTCTCTCTTTCTCTTCCTTTCTATCTTAGGAATTTTGTACACATTCTTCTCATGATGTGCATTAAATGAATACACACTGGGGACCTAGTTTACGTTTTATCTTTAATCTGTATTTGATGTAAAGCAACCATTCCAAATTTCTGAGAGAAACAACTCGTCCAGAAAAGAAACTGGTACGTAAAATATAGATATCATTAATGCCTTAGTGTTTTCGTTGAAGCTGATTTATATGCGTAATATTTAGCGAAATGTGAAGAGTAGTAGGCCCGTTGTCGTCTCTGATGGGGTCAGATGTTTTGTGTAGGCGTTATATAGAAAGGTCTAGTTTGCCAGATTTTCGCCATTTGGACACACACACTGACGGTTTTACGCCACGTTTCTGCTTTTGTTTGTATCAGAGAAATATTTTAGAGTTCTCAGTCTTGAGATGTAATAATTCTATATGTTATGGTGGACTTTAATACCGATATTTTAGATTGTGTTGATAGGCGAAATCGAGGAATGCGTCTTATCTACAAGTCTGTGAATTCATCGAAAAATTATTCCCCAACACTTAATTAAATATAATAAAGATATGTCCCATGTGTCATAGATAATTCTAGACGTTCTTAGTAAGTTGTTGTTGTTGTTGTTGTTGATGATGATGATGGGTGACCGTCCAGGTCATGCATCAGCACTGGGGCATGTTTGTAGTGCACCGAAACACATGGAAATGAAACTAACTTTAATTATTTTAATTATGGCATTTAATAGAGGTAATTAAAGTGATTGAGAGTTTGAATATGCGGAATAGCATTATTTGGAAATGAAGAATAAATTCAAAACCAAGACGTAAATCGATAGATATTTATGTAAGCTAAAAATGTTTCGAACAGACGTTGTAGAGAGAAATGATAACGTATTATTGCCAACACGCTTTTTAATAAGTCTTACGGTTTTTGAGATAATTAAAATAACATTTATTTTTATGCTGTGTCATATAGCTCAAACACCGATTTTGATTAAATTTTGCATTGGAAGTATTTTCCTCTCCGCCCGGCTTGTTTTACACAATTTGTAATAGGCGTGTAGAAATAAAAGTTATCCACGAATTAAATCTAGAGGAAATACGAGCGCTAATGCTGTTCGTTTCCTGACGTGTCTGTCCAGACAAATCGACATACTTGCTTAATATTATAAAATAATCAGTACGACTGCCTTCATGTTGAAGACGGCAGTCGTGGCTTATTTTAAGATATCAGTTACACCGCCATTCTTCGTTAAATAAGCTGAGCAGTTTAAAACCTTTGTTAAATAAAAGTCACT